GTAAAATACTTCTACATAATATAAAAAGTGGTAAATTAGCACTGTAAATTGCAATTAATTGTTGTCGGCGGAGATCGAACCCGGGTTGCACGCATACTGTGAAATTTACAGCGAGAGAGTCAGTCAGGTACAGCACAGCTCACTAATACGTACCTGCCATTAAAATGATATATAATTAAGATCTTCCTGGCCTTAACCATAGTTGGCTCTTAAGACATCCACGGGGTGGTGACAAAAATTTCGCGTCATGATGCATGACGTAATAGAATAGAATAGAATAGAATGATTTTTATTCAATATTGATTATTACATAATACTTATTGAAAGTCTGGGAAGAACCAGCAAGAAACCCAGCGGGACTTTTTTTTTAACATAATTTCGTTTATTAATAATATTGCTTATATATACATATAATATTGTTGTTGTTATTACATAATATTGTTCATAATTTTCTTTATATAATTTTTAATGAATTTTCATAGAACCAGCATGGTGGCGATCACCTTATTCCCAGGGGTTATTTTCATTCATGTATTCCTTGATATTATAATAACCCTTTTTGTACAGTTTTTCTTTAATAAAACTTTTAAACTTGTTTATTGACAAACTTTGAACATGTTCTGGGATTTTGTTGTGAAAGCGTATACATTGCCCCATAAATGAATTACTAATTCTGTGGAGTCTAGTAACTATTGTTAGCATATTTTAATAATATGTATTGTTATAACTAGTATTGTGGGTAATTAATTATTTTCTTACAATAAGTAGTTTCTTACAATAGCGGGTACATTAATATTTTAGATTTAGTTGAGCTATTTATTTTCGCTCATATTTATAACTGTGATGTAACATTGTTAAGATAATTAAAAAAAAAATATATCTTGTTTTGTAATGTAAAAACACACTTAATAATATCCTATTTTATTGGAAAGTTGTAACGGAAAACAAACAAGCGGCGCCATCTGTAGTTTAACAATGGTAAATTACAAGCCTATAAAATACAGATGTCGGCGGCTTGTGGAGAGTCTTTTGGAAGAACTGTTGAGTAGAGAGAACGTGCACGGAAGATAAATTGTGAGTATTAATAGGAATTGTTATACTTATTTTGTTATTCTGTGTGTCTAATGTACATTGATGTTATTGTGGATATCTATAACCTTGTTTAGATTTAGTGATATCTTGTACAATTAAGAAAATATATGATATTAGTGATGCATTGAGTGACTTTATTTAACAAATCAGAAGTGGGATATGAACTTACATGTATGTAAAAGTAGGCTTTTTAAATTGCGGTCAAAATTTAACATTTTTTTCTTTCCTTTCTCTGAGAAAAAAAAATATTATACTACCCGAAACTCGGGCTATCTTGCTTATTCGGCGTTATTAGTATTTCTATTAATAATTGAAGGGTAAGCTAAAATATTATCATCCGTTACCTTCGGGTTATTGCAGTAGCTACTGATTAACTTATTAACACGATCTCTTTATTACGTTTAGAATAGAATTAATATTTAATTCTTAATGTTAGCCTTGTTGTTGGTGTAATTTATACAAATACTATATGAAACCCACGATGAAAATTTTAAAACTCCGTTGCTGTAATTTTGTTGAGACCTACTAAGTATTTGTAACTAGATTTGGAAAATCTAGACATGCATGTTTTATGTTCGTGTATTTTTACGTATAATATGCATTGATGCTTATAAATACTAGTGTAGAAGTTTCAAGTCTGTATACTCTGCAAGCTGTGTTTCGTTTTCCATTGCAAATTATTTTTTACACAGATATTTAATGTACACAATATAATATTTTTTTTGCTTATATTAATGCGTATACGTTAATGTATATTAATACATTTCTTCTTGGTATTACCTTAATCTATGCTGAATCTCATACATGCGCAAAATATGACTAAAAGTGTGTGCAGGGTTCTCTCTTCACATATAAATAAATAAATGCTGTTCTATTGAAATAACTTTTAGAATTCATTTTTATTTTATGCATTGTTTCTGTGTACTTGTGTTCTTTTTGTCCTTATTTCTATCTATATATTCATTAATTTACATTATTTTTTCTTTTCTGACGTTCGAATTACGCGTTATGTGTAAGCTACTTCGTGTTATTGCCCAAGTACATAGTAGTTTATCCATCTCGAATTAAACAGATCACCATCTCTCGTGAGGTATTATTTCTGTTTCAGTCTGAGATGGAAGAACACCATAGTAAGGGAGAGATAAACTCTCCTATATTACAACGAAATGAAGATCTAAAGCACGTACAAGGTCTACCTTCATTGCGAAAGCGTGTTCGCAACCGTCGAGATCGCCAGTCCCGAACACGTTCAAGAACACCTGAATCTTTGGTATGTGACCGGGGTAGTCACGACCGAAGCCAAAGCCGCGTCCGCAGTTGTGACCTTAGCCACAGACGCGGCCTTAGCACCAGAGCTGACTCCAATCTATCCAACTCGCGACTGCCATCCTACAGCCAGTCGCGACACCGTCACCGCAGCCGTCAGCCCAGCGATCACCACAGGCGTTGGTAATCGCTCATCCATCCGACATCAAGAGTTGGTTCTCCGCGCAGCACGTCTCGTGATCTAATAAGTGGTCACTTCAGCCGTTTTCTTGACGGGCCTAGACGTGAGGCGCCTCGCAATAGCTGCACCAGAACCGGAATGCAAGGTAACTTCAATGTTCATGAGCCCGCAACGTCTAATTCTGACAATAGTCTCTAGCTTTCAATGCACTCATTGAAATCTTTAACGTCCTCAGATTAAGATAGGATAAGTTCATTTAATAATGCCATACCGGAATATGACCCAGCTAGAAAGGAGCAAACAATTACTATGTGGTTACATAAGGTTCACGAGTGCGCAACCGTATATGTTTAGAGCAAACGGCAAACGATACACTTCGTTCTCCCGATGTTAAAAGGCGTGGCACAAAGGTGGTACAAAGGATTGCCATCTGTACTCTTCTCCTGGTCGGAGTGGCGATCTAAATTATTGTCCGCATTTCCATCTGGGGAAAACTATAGTCAAATGCTTGTGATATGTTAGCTAGACGTGCTAGGTTTGGAGACCTAGCACGTCTTAAGATTGCGTTAATTAATCGATGCAGTATAATGGCGATAAGCGCGGTAGAATGCGTATTGCAAGGCATAGATAGATGATCGATCAGTCTGGTTAGAAGTGGGAGCGATACAGTATGAACATTTGGATAAACTTTTGAACTATTTAAAAATTCTATAAACATCAATACGATGATTGAAGGTTAGGTAGGGTTCAGAATTTTAGATCATGCATGACTGGTAATACGACCCTATGCTATAATTGTAAACAGAAAGGCCATATTATAAATAAATACCAACAACCGATTAAAACCCGTAGTTGATATTTTAAAGTAGGTCATCTGACCATGACCTACTTTATTACTACATAGACAGAAAACTGTTATTCCAAGCTAATACCATCTCAAAAGGCCGTCAATTTTGTGAATAATAACAATATAATTAATGAATATTACAAAACTGCCATCGTGAATTCCATACCAATTGAATCGTTTGTTGATCTTGGTAGCGAGTGCTCTATGCTCAAGCAATCAGAATTATCGAAACTAGGAATAAAAAAAAAAACGTTCAAACTTATAACCTACCCTCCCTCAGAGGTTTTGGTAACGCCAATGTAAGATCTTTGGGTAAAGTTATTGTTAAAATCGTAGTACTTGATGTTGAGGCCAATGTTGAACTGCTGATTGTCCCCGATGACGTGCGTTTGTGGTATTTCGCTTATTAAAGTTTATACCAAGCCGAAGTTTGTCGGAATCTTGTATAATGAGACGAATTGTATGGGATTAAAACCTTTTTTTCGAATATAGCGTGTTAACTGGGGTCTATAAATTTGATGAAATAGTAGTTAACTCATTAGATCCAGAACCAATTAATTTAGTAGAATCTCTCTGGAGGAAGCTGAAAATAGACTTATGCAAGTTTCGTCATTCAACACTTGTCTTGCACCGAAATCTATACAACTTTATGATCTAAAGCTTGGTGATAGTTTAAATCTATCGGAAGTTGACCGTTTGGTAATTCTTCTTCACAAATTTCGTAAGTGTTTCGCATTCGGACTTTCCGAATTAGGAAGTTGCACTGTAGCCTAGATGTCCGTTCGTTTGGACGACGACAAGCCTGTTGTTTACAGACCGTATAGATTGGCGAAAAAAAAGGGGAAATATCCAATGAAGAAGCATTAGCATATCTTGACGACATCATTATTCCTTCTCAGACCATCGATCAAGGGATAATAAAGCTACATTCTGTTCTTAAATCACTAGATAATGCGGGGCTTACGCACGCTTAAACTCTCAAAGTGTGTTCTTTAGCCTTTCCGCTGATTATTTAGGATTCGAAGTTTCGAGTGAGGGAATATGTCCTGGGGCAAGAAAAATTAAAGCAGTAGAGCTTTTTCGGGTATCAACTAATCAACACAATATTATGCAGTTCTTAGTATTAGCTAGCTTTTTTCGAAGATTTGTACAATGGTTTTTCGGTAACATCAAAACCATTGAAAAAATTATTAAAGAAGGAGGCGACCTGGGAATGGGGACAGGAGCAGCAGAATGCTTTCAACACCTTGAAAGGGGCGTTGGTGAAAAAAAAACCTATTCTGACTCTTTATAATCCATCGACTGAAACATAACTTGACACAGATGATTGTAAGCTGGGTGTTTCAGGTATTCTGCTGCAAAAATTCGATAAAAATGGACTACGACCTGTCGCTTATTACAGCAAACAAACTACTCCAGAAGAGTAAAGTTATTCCTCTTACGAACTAGAAACACTAGCTGTAGTAGCTTCTCTACAAAAATTTCGCGTATAGCTTCTCTACAAAATTTCGCGTATAGCTTCTCTACAAAAATTTCGCTTATATTTGGTAGGAATTCGTTTCAAAATTATTGCCGATCGGTAACTCTTTACGAGCCACATTTTTAAAACGGGATATGCTGCCGCGTGTTGCTCGTTGGTGGACTCAAATGCAAGAGTTCGATTTTTCTATTGAATACATGCCTGGCACATCAATGCCCCATGTGGATGCTCTTAGCCGTAATCCAGCATTGCCTGACGAAGATCTTAAGTTTAAGGATATTTTTCATGTTAAGGAAATTGACTGGCTTGTTACTGTACAAAACCCGGATACCGACGTACAGCGAATAATTGGTATTCTAAATAGTCCTAATTTAAACGTGCTTGATATTAAAAACAATTACAAATTGAAAAATGGCAAGTTATTTAGAAAAATTGCAGAGGGTGATAAGTGAGTTATGCCTAAGGGCGTTAGATGGCAAATTATAAAGCAAAATCATGATGACATTGGTCACTTTGGTTTGGAGAAAATTCTAAAGAAATATGTAACCTCTTGCCTTGAGTGTACATATTCTAAATCGTTCGTTTTCTAAATAAAAAAAAAATAGAAATTACCTTTGATACAATTCACATTGATCATGTTGGACAGTTCGTAAGAATTAGTACAGGTTTTACGCATATTTTAGTTCTGATAGATGCATTTACTCATACTTAAAACCGGTTAGAAATACCAAATCTAGTACAACCATTAAAGTTATTCGCGAGTATATTAGTAAACCATTAAAGTTATTCGCGAGTATATTAGTAAATTTGGCGCTCCAAGACTTATTATTTCCGACCGTGAGACTGCTTTTACCAGTAATACCTTTAAAGCATTTGTTCATGAAAAGGGTATAAAGCACATTCATAATGCTGTGTCTACCCCAAAATCCAACGGACAGGTAGAACGTTATAACAAAATTATAATTGACTCTTTGACAACAAAGTGTATCGGCACAGCAGATAACAAATGGGATTCCCACCTTCCAGATATACAATGGTGTATGAATAATACTTTTAATAAAGGTATTAACACTACACCATCTGAAGCACTCTTTGATTTTTATCTTAGGATTTTAAGCGATAATAAAATAATAACACCTCTTGAAGACTTTGATAATTTAGAGTGTAATTGCTGTAATGTTGACATCATTCGACAGGAAATAAGCTCCCATATTAGTTCTTGCTAGTTAGCACAAAAGAAATCGCTTCGATAAATCTCGTTGTTGACTCATTAAATACAAAGTTGGCGATATTATAAGAATAGAGACAAATCTCAGCTACCGGTAATAGCAAAAAAACTTATACCTAAGTTTCAAGGTCCTTATAGAATCGTTAAGTGGTCGAAGATACCCCATTAACGCGAAGAAATAATAAACATTATTCTTCTGTGGTAGCTGTTGATAAAATAAAACGTGGCTCAATTTTCAGAGACGACATGATACGATGTTAAGTGACGGAAAAAGTGAATCCGAATCTGAATCTGAAATTGCGTCATAAATCTTAAAGGGCTAAATTGTTTTATAAGTGTATTCTAGACATCAAGTTGATTTTCTTTTAAGTGTTGTGTTTAGTGTGTGTGTTTGGTGTTCAGGACAAGAGGGGCCTGCACTAAAGTGATAAAAGTTCTAATGGTGTTCAGGACAAGAGGGGCCTGCACTAAAGTGATAAAAGTTCTAATGGTGTTCAGGACAAGAGGAGCCTGCACCAAAGTTATAAAAGTTCTAATGGTGTTCAGGACAAGAGGGGCCTGCACTAAAGTAATAAAAGTTCTAATGGTGTTCAGGACAAGAGGGGCCTGCACTAAAGTTATAAAATGTTCTAATGGTGTTCAGGACAAGAGGGGCCTGCACTAAAGTTATAAATGTTCTAATGGTGTTCAGGACAAGAGGGGCCTGCACTAAAGTTATAAATGTTCTAATGGTGTTCAGGACAAGAGGGGCCTGCACTAAAGTTATAAATGTTCTAATGGTGTTCATAATTTTGTAATGAGGGCGTGAAGAGCCTGTAGAATACTTAGAGGAGTGTTCAAAAATTGTTGTCTAATTGTGCGTGGACACACAATCTGTCAGATGGCCGAATCTGTTAGCATATTTTAATAATATGTATTGTTATAACTAGTATTGTGGGTAATTAATTATTTTCTTACAATAAGTAGTTTCTTACAATAGCGGGTACATTAATATTTTAGATTTAGTTGAGCTATTTATTTTCGCTCATATTTATAACTGTGATGTAACATTGTTAAGATAATTAAAATAAATATAAATCATGTTTTGTAATGTAAAACACACTTAATAATATCCTATTTTATTGGAAAGTTGTAACGGAAAACAAACAAGCGGCGCCATCTGTAGTTTAACAATGGTAAATTACAAGCCTATAAAATACAGATGTCGGCGGCTTGTGGAGAGTCTTTTGGAAGAACTGTTGAGTAGAGAGAACGTGCACGGAAGATAAATTGTGAGTATTAATAGGAATTGTTATACTTATTTTGTTATTCTGTGTGTCTAATGTACATTGATGTTATTGTGGATATCTATAACCTTGTTTAGATTTAGTGATATCTTGTACAATTAAGAAAATATATGATATTAGTGATGCATTGAGTGACTTTATTTAACACTATATATATATATATATATATATATATATATATATATATATATATATATATATATATATATATATATATTTTATTAATAACTAGCGATCCCTAGAGATAACTAGCGCCAACAAATAAAAATGAAAAAAAATTTTCACAAATGTCCCATCTCCTGACTATTTGCGTATACTCGCAGATTTCTTTGATAAACGTCGTCTACATTCCGGGGAAACAAATTATCTTCTTAACTTAACTCTCTCTGTATGAAAAAGACTATTTACTGTTTAATAACCGTTTCTATCTACAAAAAAGGGCTAGCTCTGGGGTCCCCTCTAAGTCCCCTTATGGCGAACATTTTCTTGGATAATTTCGAAAAACAACATATAGTTGTCAATCAAAATATCTTATATTGCTATCGATATATAGATGACATAATTATTTACTGGACTGGCACAAGGAGACAACTGGATGGTTTCCTTAATAAAATAAATAGAGTCCATGTCAAATTTAAACTTGAATTGGAACAATATTATGTCCTATATATATAATAATATACGATAATTCCCTTAATTTTCTCGACTTAACAATAACAAGAAAATTGTCGTCACATATTTTCCAAATTTATCGAAAGCCAACTCATACCGACGTGGTCTTCCCCGCGTCATCATGTCATCCGTGGCAACATAAATTAGCCGCTTTTTATTGCTATATTAATCGTTCGTTCACTGTCCCATTAAGTTAAGAAAATTATTTAAAAGAGCTTAATATAATTTATCAATTAGCGGTCTATAATGCTTTTTCAAAAGATTTCATTAACAGTTTAATTAAAAAGAAACAAAAGCATGTTGTTCGCAACTCTCTGTACACGGTTCAACCTCAATGTGTTCGTCGATATATGAGCAGTTTGACCTACTTAGGCCAAATGTCTGAAAAAGTAGCTAATACTTTTCGAAATAGCGGAGTTTATGTGGCGTTGAAAACAAACAATTCTCTTAGGATTATTTGTAATAATAAAGATAAGTTAAATATTCATCAATAATCGGGTGTTTACAAACTTATTTGTGACGAATGATCGTTAGTCACCCTCACGGTGATCAGCGATTGGTTGCGTGATTGGAGGGTAGGCGGGCGTTGCGCGGTGGTTCGTTTTTAATTTTACAAACGGCTGCGTAAGTCCGGCGGTAATTGGCTGCATGTTTTACCGCATGACACGGTCTTTAGCTCCTTAAGCAGGGAGCGTTTGCGTCAGAGGTCTGTATAAATGGCAGTTGTTTTCGCTCACCGCTAACTTAACGGTCAGCCACCGCAGAGTCTACATCACCTGAGGATGCCTCGTGTAGAGGCGAAACACGTGTCGTATTGTCGTCTTTGTTGTGTCTTTCCTAGTGTAGTGGTGTTGGGAGTAGTGGTGCTGGGATTAGTGGTGACGGGGATAGTGCACGCAATTGAGGGAGGGCGGGAGGTGCTCTTCAAGCTAGCTAATACACATCATTTTATTTTATCGAGCGGATGTACGCAAGGTAATTTTTACCATCTTTAATATAATGGATTTCCGCAAAGTAACGCCTGATTCTATTAATTATCTTACTGACACTATTAGATCCACATACGTCACAATTTTTTTTCTCGGCTTGAGTCGCATTTTCCCCTTTTTTGTAATAAAACTTCAGAATGTATCGAATTTCTTATGTTCATAAATCCTTCATTGCTCTTGATTTGCACAAAAATTTAAAAAATGTTTGTCACATTTGGATCGCTGTTCATCGCAACGTTATTAATTTGAGTAAGTGATTTCATTCATGTATTCCTTGATATTATAATAACCCTTTTTGTACAGTTTTTCTTCAATAAAACTTTTAAATTTGTTTATTGACAAACTTTGAACATGTTCTGGGATTTTGTTGTGAAAGCGTATACATTGCCCCATAAATGAATTACTAATTCTGTGGAGTCTAGTAACTATATATATATATATATATATATATATATATATATATATATATATATATATATATATATATGGACTCTGGACTCAAAGAGTCAAATGTGGTATCCTTATCCCTGATGCCCAGGGGGCCTGGAAAGACTCACGCGACATTGGTCGCGTGTTGGCGTACCAGAACCGCTGGGTTAACATCAGGGACTGGCTGTTACTCAAGGCAGATAAGCAGACGGACGGGTGGTTCCTCGTTGTTTCGGTGCCGGAGGATCATATCCCGACCCTGATGAAGGCCGGACGCCGTCTCGCATGTGTATGCGGGGCGGTATACGTAAAATTCCAGGGTCGTGGAGGCAAATTCTTTGATACTCCACCGAGCAAAGAGGTAGAAAACAACCCGGAAGTTATGGATACCGAAGCCATAGTTACCGGTACAGCGGAATCACTGGAGGCCAAGTCCAGTGAAGAAACGGCCTGCACAATTGAGCCGAAGCCCCCAGTGGAGATTGGGCTCAGCGGCAGCTCACTGAGTGACGAGGAGGACTGCATTTTGCCGACCACCTCCGACTCGGTGGCTGACGATGAGACCCGAGATCTGCTGGCAGGCCTATTTTTGGGCGGGGACGGGGAGGACGCGATCAATGATGGCGTGCCCTTCGTCCAAAACTAGCCTAGTGCAGGCCAACCTCCACCACAGCGAAACTGCGTCGGCTCAATTACGCAAGTGGTTGGAGGTTCAAAGGACTGCCATAGCCTTAATCCAGGAGCCATGGGTTGGGGCTGGTAAAATTAAAGGCCTAAACAACCTAAAAGGTAAGTTATTCTACAGCTCTGAACACGACAAGCCTAGAGCGTGTATTTACACTACTAAAGATATCTGTGCACAACCTTTAACAGATTTCTGTTCTAGAGACATGTATGCCGTAGCAATACAGTACACACAGGAGAGTAGATTAGTCGTCGCCTCGGTCTACATGCCGGAGGAAGACACTCCTCCACCTCATGACCTCAGCAGGCTGGTGAACTTCTGCGAGAGGACCGGACTAGAGGTTGTGATCGGGACGGACTCCAACGCACATCATCCCCTTTGGGGAATGGAAAAACCAAATGAACGAGGTAAAGTTTTAGTTGAATATTTATTTAGTACTAACCTAACCATTTTAAACATAGGTTCTGAACCTACTTTCATAAACAAACGCTGTCGCACTATAATCGACCTCACACTTGCAACAGAAGGAGCAGCCAAACTAATTACGGGATGGCATGTGTCGAGAGAGGCCTCATGCTCAGACCATAGATGGATCTGCTTCGCACTACAGGTCGATATCCCCTCTACACCACCATGGAGAAATCCCCGCAAGACAGATAAAACTAAATACCTAAATAGGCTGACGTCTTTGCTAGCGGATTTTGAGGGGATAAATACTATAGCAGATCAGTCGCTCCTAGAAGAACAGGTAGCAGCTGTTACTAAGGCCATGATAGACAGCTACCATGAATCATGTCCAGAAATCACTCCACCAAGACATGCCGAGGTAAAACAACCGTGGTGGGGTAAAGAACTCGATAGAAAACGTAAGAAGGTAAGAAAAGCTCTAAATAGGGCCATGAATACCTCAATGGATGAAGACTGGCTATTATATAAGAAAGCTAAGTCTGAATACAAAAAATGTATCAGGTATCGACGCTCGATTGGGTGGCGTAAATTCTGTGGCAACATAGAAACCTGCAAACAAGCAAATAGGATTAGGAATATTCTAGCTAAACAGAACACGTCGGGATCCATGTCTCTAAAGAAACCCGACGGTAGCTACTCAACATCGCCGGATGAAGCCCAACGCATCCTAATTGAAACGCACTTCCCAGGTTGCTGCGTAACCCAGGAGGCAAACCGGCATGACGACATACTGACATCAACAGCAGAAGACTGGAATTTAGCACAGAGAGTGGTAACGATGGACAAAATCCATTGGGCCATTCACAGTTTCCTCCCCTATAAGGCGGCAGGACCCGACGGCATATTCCCGGCACTCCTACAGTGGGGGGGTAAAGCCCTAATAGTCAGACTTGCTGCCATAATGCGAGCCTGTCTTGCTCTTAAATATGTTCCTAGGGGATGGAGGGAAGTGAAAGTTACATTCATACCCAAACCAGGTAAGAGCGACTACACTGACCCTAAATCCTACAGGCCCATTAGCCTCACATCCTTTCTCCTAAAGACGATGGAGAGGATGTGTGAAAGGGAATTAAGGGGGTCGGCGCTAATGAACTTACCACTACACGACAAGCAACACGCCTACAGTCTAGGCAAA